CAAATTGTTGTTGCTAACAATAATTTACTATTCGTAGTAACCTGTTATTAAATATATATATAGTGAAAGGTTCCAGTGTGGGTGAATGCTTCCCGTGCGGTTGTGCGGTTATTAATGTGCGTGAGATTTGTACTCAATGTGCGTGAGTGTTGTGTCTAATGTGCTTGAGATTTGTACTTAATGTGCGTGAATGTGTAAAATGCAGCTGAAAATATGAATATCAGCTTCTTTCCCATTCCCAGTAGCCATTACCCCCCCCCCTGATGATGATGATGCAGAGGCGAGCTATGGTGATTAAGAATTATGAGAATAATACAACAGAAATCCAGACTTAGCTAGTGTGCGAATTTTGCTGTGCGTGCGTCATATATATATAAACATTCAACTGTACTAAAGGTAGCGGATAATCCAGAATCCATGACCAAATTGAAGGAAGAAGTAACAAGAAGCTTGGGCGTTAATGTGCCTGAGTTTCTGTTCTGCTTCCTTCTGAGCTCGTAATTCTGAAATACTCACGCACATTAAGCACGAACCTCACGCACATTAAACACAATACCCAGGCACATTAAGTACGAAACTCACGCATATTAACATCACGCACATTAAGTACAAATCTCAGGCACATTGAGTACAAATCTCACGCACATTAAGTATAAACCTCACGCACATTAACCCACCGCACAACCGCACGGGAAGCAACAAATGCACCTGATCCCTTCCCTAATATATATATATATATATATATATATATATATATATATATATATATATATATATATATATATATTACGAATATAAACATAAAAAGAATAAAAAATCAAAATATATAAGTATTTATATGAATACTATGAAACATATACTAAAATTTGACGATTAAAAATTTGCTTTGTTCATGTATTTAGGGAGAATTAGAGAAAGTTAGGGATAAAAAATTCATAGAAAAAAATAAAAATCAATATAAACAAGCAATAATGAAGTAAAAATAATATTATTTCAAATTTTTAGATGAAGATTCTAAAGTTTAGGAGAGAGATAAAAATTGGTAGAGTTTAGGTATGAGGAAAATATAGGATAATGAAGAAAAAAATAATTTTATTGAATTTAGATAGGTTTATAGAGTTTAAATAGGGAGAAAAAATAGAGTTTAAATAGAGAGAGAAAACATTCAAAGTTGTTAGAAAGAAAATTTGAAATCTTGGGGTTGATGGTCGGATTTCAACTATTTATATTTGAGAAGAGAAAATTTCAATTTTGGTCACATGACTATAAGGGCTTTGTTAATTTCAGCACCTGACTTTCAAAAGTATCAATTTAGTACCTTGACTATGTAATTTTTATCAATTTTGGTCACTCCGGCCGGCCAAATTTGACCGGAAAACCTTAATCCAACATTTAGTTTATAATATGATCAAAAGATCATTTTGCCCCTCAGATTATAGATTACGTGTTGGATTAAATTTTTCCGGCCAAATTTGACCGTCAATTTGGCCGGAATGATCAAAATTGACAAAATTACATAGTCAAGGTACTAAATTGACACTTTTAAAAATCAAGTGCTGGAATTAACAAAGCTCCTATAGTCATGTGACCAAAATTGAAATTATGGAAAGTCTACAAAAGTCTTAAAATTAAAAAGTTTACAAAAATTCATAACTTTTTGAATACCACATAACTTTTAACGACTCTTTAAAAGTCTTCATCGAATACCACACGACTTTTAAAGACTCTTTAAAAATCTTGATTGAATATCGCCTGACTTTTGAAGACTCTCTAAAAGTTTGAATTGAATACCTCCAAACTTTTAAAGTTTATAAAAGTCAAAAACTCTATGAAAGTCATGATTGAATACACCCCCCTTAATGTTCACAATTTACATACAAAATATTATATTCACAATTTACCTTTTATAAAATTGTGAACATTCATTAGGTAAATTTATATATTGAACCTGAGTCTACCTTGCAAAGTGGATCCAGTTCCACAGAATAATTTGCCCTTAATTTTCTGTTTCTGAATTTTATTCTCTAGGCGTTACAATTTCTAAAATAAAAAATAAAAAGTTACTACATGAATTAAAATTGTGAATTTTTAATTCTATAAAAAGTTTCCATATAACACTTGTTCAATTATTATTCAGTAATTAAGGGCGTGTTTGGAAACTTGGAAAATGAGTTCTGGAAATCATTTTCCAAGTTTCCAGTGTTTGGATGTGCCTGGAAAATCAAGTCAACGGAAATCATTTTCCGTTGACTTTGGAAAATAAGCTTGTTTTGGAGGAAAATGACTTCCCTTTTTTTTTTTGGGGAAGTCATTTTCTAACTTTTACACCAACATCATCAACACCATACCACCACCACCACCACTACCACCATACCACTACCGCCGCCATCACCACCATACCACCGACACCACCACCACCACCACCATACCACCGACACCACCACCACCACCACCATACCACCGTTGCCACCCACCCCATCACAGTGCCTCCGCGCACTGCCACCACCGCCACCACCACCACCACCACCATACACCGCAACCACCGCACCGCCACCACACCACCACCACCATACACCGTCGCCGCACACACCACCATACCACCGCCCGCATCACCATCATACACCCCCCACCACCGCACCACCACCATACCTCCGCAACCACCGTTGCCACCACCACTACCGTCATACCACCGCCACCGCCACCACCACATACCAGCCACCACCGCCGCCGCCGCCACCGCCGCCACCAACCAAGCACACCCGCGCACCACACCACTAACACCGCCAACACCACCCCACCACCACCATCATACCACCGCAACCACTATCACCGCCACACTACCACCATACCACGGCCGCCGCCCCAACCATCGCCATCACTCGCCGCGCCGGCCACCATACCACCGCAACCACCGTCACCGCCATCACCACACCACCATACCACCACCACCACACCACCACTGCCACCCACCGTCATACTACCACCACATCACACCAACACCACTACCCCGCCGCCCGCGCGCACCACATACTACTGCAACCACCGTCGCCCGCCGCCACGACTATACCACCGCAACCACCGCCACCACCACCACCACCATACCACCGCCATGACCATACCACCGCAACCACCGCCACCACCACCACCACCATACCACCGCCACCACACCACCATCGTCATACCACCATCAATTTTTATTTTTATTATTATTATTATTATTATTATTATTATTATTATTATTATTATTATTATTATTATTATTATTATTATTATATAACGAATAACACCACCACCACCATAATATTTTTGATATATTATTAGTTTTTTTTTTTTTGAAAAACTTAGCTATTTTTTATTATATTTAAAATTAATATTATATTATTATACATGTTGTAATATTCTAAATAAAATAATTAAAATGTTTAATTATACAATTCTACTCATTTTCCAGAAAATGAACCAAACACACAAAAACAGTTTTCCAGAATGCAACCAAACACCGGAAATGAAAATGTTTTCCGGAAAATGACTCATTTTCCAGCATTTTTCAGAAGTCATTTTCCTGCTTTCCAAACGGATCCTAAACTAATTTGTTCTTGTCTATTTTTCATTTTTTAATTTAATTTTTTTTTTTTGTTTAATAATACACAAATTAAATTGAATAATCCTATCCACCCCTAAAAAATTTCTCATGATAAATTTTTCTTGACATGTTTTTGTTTGATTAGTTAATTTAAAGGTTAGTGGGGTTACTGAATTCACTTATTCACGGAACTCAATAATTATAAGTCATGTCGTGGAAAGAATTGAGGAGGACAAAAATTAAAAGAGAAGAGCATACATATCCAAAAATTATAAGTCAGTTGAGTTTTTTTTTTTTTTCCCCCTTTTTGTAAGCTTCAATATCCACCTCATCATCCACTATCTCACTCTAGGCAAATTATACTGTGGACTACGATCCACCATGCATTATGGTCCATGCATCAAATATACATTACAGTTTCATTTCAGCACAACTATAGTATTATTTTGATATAACTACAGTTTCGCTGGACAATATACACTCAAATATATAAAATTGTTATTCAGTTTATTTCAACACAACTACAGTTTCATTTCAAATCAATTGCAATTTCATTTGATAATATAATAAAAATAATACGTGAGACAGTGTCAATTTAGATACACTATAGTGTCTGCCATTTTGGACTATGATCCACAAATCTTTGTGGACCACGGTACACAGTATAATTGCTGCTCACTCAATCACAAAAACCTTTCTCCCCATTAGTTTTAGGTTTTTTTTTTCAATTTTTTTGTGCACACATCATTTATCATTTATTATACTATATTTTAATTATATATATTTCTTTATTTATTTAATTATAAATTTATAATTATAATGAAAATTAATTAATAGAATGTACATATATTTAAATAAAGTGATAATTACAAACATTTAAATTAATTTTCGTTATTGCTCTATTTATTTTAATCATTTTAAATTTTAATTATAACTAAATCATTTAAAAATATATATTGAATTTGATATTTTATAAAAAAGTTAAAACAAACATAATAAAACAATAAGAAACAAACAAACAAATCAAATGTAAAAAACAAAAAAAAAAACAAATAAAAAACAAATAAAAAAACATGTCAAAAACAAAACAAACGAAACGAAAATAAAATAAAATAAAAACAAAACACATCAAGATTGGCGGCCACTCTCAATCGCTTAAGCGGGCGCGTGTAAAATACGCCCCCTTTTTTTTTTTTTTTTTTTTAATATCCTACAAAAAGTTTTGTATTTGCAGGAGTAAAATGCACCACAAATTCATGCTCCACATCATTGCAAAATCTATTGATCAGTTTTTTCTTGTTCAGAAAACTAGCAAAAATGAACCGATGTAGTTGCTCTAAGAAGAATTTTCTAATTAAATTATAAATAACGTCATTTAAATTATATTACTGAAGGGAGTAATATAATTATTAATTTGGAAAGTTTTGCATCTAAATGTGACAATAAATATAAAGACCCTACAGCGAAAAAAGTAACAAAATCCGAAACTGCTATTTTTCCAGAATTTGCTTCAGAGCTACACTGCTGGAAATTTGTCATTTTCCGACCATCGAAAAGTGGTCGGAGATGGCCTTAATTAGGTCAGAAACGCCTGTTCAACTCAGGTCTCAAAATACAAAATCTGGAACCTGGACAGGTACAATTGGCATCACAAGGTGTGACTCTCATCAGGTCCAATATATAATGCCTGGTTGCCAGTGTTAGAAAAATTAATGCCTAAACTCAAAAAGTTATTGTTGCCCAAACAAACTATCTCATACCTGTCATCGCTGCCAACAATACCCTTGTACTCCACTGATGCAACCAACTCAAAAATATTTCCAGATCCATCATAGACAGCATGTAAGTTCAAGTGGAGACGCTTTGCAGCTTCAACTACCTATTGATAGCCAAAGGATTAAAAATATTGATTGAACCAAGAAACAGGTAGTCTCTATAGTAGAGAAGAATATCTCAATATTTAAGACTTGATTATCAATGAGGCACTAATATTCATCAGCATATTGCACTTAAAGAGAATAGACCACAAGTTTATTAGACACCTGTTGAACGACCCTGTGACCTCTGTAATCAATTATGGCCATTGCAAGATTGTATAGCCCAGGGACATCAACTTCTTGATATGCCTTTGTGCCTTTTAGGTCATTGTTTGCACTTGCATATGTGGCTTGCTCACCTTCAGTTCTCAGTTGGCTTCAGTGCACCCCCTACAAAGACAACATTCAGTAAACCCAAATAGTGTCAATAAATGAAGATCGGTCATCAAGATTCCTCTACCAATCCCATTGATGGAAGATACTCATTGGTCTTCAATCTTGTCAACAAGCCCCTTCCTAATCTTCTTCCTTATAGTGATCACTGCCCTCACATCTATGCAGAGGAACTGCAATTCAAAATTTTGCAGATTGATCAATGGCCAATCACAATTTCAACTAAGTAACAAGACTAACAAGCAAATCCTAGGCGGTTCTCTCCCCATATAATAAAAAATTACAACTGAAATAAGCTCAGAAAATTCATTTGAATCATCCACTCAAAGACTCATCAATTTCAATTTTAACATACTGACCATCATCAAACGGATTCTTCTTCGGTGTTGCAGGTGGATGCTGAATCCTAGGCAGTCTTCTCCCATTCTTGTCTTTCGGCCTCACCTATAGAAATTCACACACAAATATTAATTTATACAGTAACACTATACTGAATCAGAATTGGTATGCCGAAATAAAGCAGAATATTTTGTGAATTAGATTCCAGCTATAAAGAAAAATGCTTACATTTTGAAATGAGTGATTGAAATTGGCGGTCTTCTTATTTCCTCATCCACAGTAGACTGAAATAATAAGAGTAGAGCATAAAACTCATCCAGCTCATTCATATATGTACGTCACAGAAAAGTACCTAAACCCTAAAATGAAAGAAAATACCTCACGCCGATCTGCTCACGCGGCTCCTAGGAAGTAGCCACAGGTTTGCTCAATAGAATTAGGAAATTAAGGATTAGGGTTTAAGATTAGAGGACTAACCTATAGGATGGTGATGGAGACCGCAGTACAGTCGGGAAGAGACGACAATGGCAGAAACTTTGGAGCAGGCTTAGACGTCGGAGGAGGTGGGAGCGACGGCGTAGAGAAGGCTTAGACAGCGGCGGAGTCGGCAGCGACGACGAAGAGAAGGCTGAGACAGTGGCGGAGGCAGGAGCGGGAACGACATCGTCCAGAGGTGGGAAGTGTTTGGTTCTCTGCTGAGCTACGTCGTCCACAGAGGCAGGAGCGTTTTATATTTTGGTTGAGTGAAGGCGTGGGGAGTCTGTTTTATTTTTGAGCTGAGCGATGTTTGGGCTGAGTGAAGGCGTGGGGACTGGGGAGTGTGTTTTATTTTTGAGCTGAGCGACGACGTTTTGGTGTTTGAACGAAAAAAAATTTAAATTTGGAGAAAAGTTTCCGACCACCTAGAAAATATGGTCGAAAATTCCGACCACTTTCCGACTAGTATAACCCTTCGTCGAAAAAATTAAAAAAAATCAATTGTTGCGACCAGTTTTTTGACTGGTCGGAAATGTGGTCAGAAAAGGAAGAATTTCCAGCAGTGCTAACCATGGCTCAACTGTAGTTGACCCTACGCCTCCAGGATTGCCATAGTATATTTTCTTTTAGAATTGATAGTCTTCCATTGTAGTTCTATTTGTCTGGTTCATTTGTGATCAAATGTTTGATTTGAAATCCAATTGTAAGTCTAGAATATTTATGTTTTTGCACAACCATTGCATATTAGGGTTTTTAGGTATTTGTTATATTTCTTTTAGCTACTGAATAACAAGAGATATTTGTGATATTATATTGTTGTTGTAGGCTTTTTAGTTAAGATATCAATTTTTGGCTAGCTTCCTGTCAATAACCCTTGAATCAAGCTTATTAATAAATAAATAAATAAATTTGTTTAGTGCCTTTATTATTAAGATTTGTGGTACTCATATGTGGTAAGTAGTTTATAATTCTCCAATTATGTTAATGGTTTTCAAGATGACTATGCTTTAGCATTATTCTTAGTTTATAACCCAATAGGGTAGCTCAAGTGGCAAATGAGCTCTCTTTGTGGGGGGGAATTTTGGGATAACCCGGGTTCAATTCCCACAAGTGACGATTCCCTTTGGGCCAGCTTCTGTGTCTCTCAGAGTGGACTCAGACCACAATGTCTAGTTTACATCAGAAAAAAAAATTGGACCACAATGTCTAGTTTACATCAGAAAAAAAAAATATCAGGTGATGCATATATGGCAGAACTAAGTCTTAATTTTACCCTTTTTTAAAAAAATGTGTCATGATCCTGGATATGAAAGAAGGAAACAGAAAAGCTGGAATGAGAAGTGAAGATCAGAAGAAGAAGAAGAAGAAGCTCTATCAGAATTTAAGGGCTGAAAGTCAGGGACCAACACGACGTCGTTTCGCAAATGAACCAGTTAGCCGTTAAAACTTATTCACACGACGTCGTATGATGCTAACCGTTGGTGACCGTTTGAATAAACATCAAGACGACGCCGTTGACGAACGGTAAGAACGAAAAAACGCTCTGGCGAAAGGAGAGAAAACAGGCGATTTTTCTATACAAGTTTTCCGGTCGGTTCTTCACGCAAGTCTTCCGGCCGGTTTGCCGGCGCCGGCGAGCTTCGTCCGGCCGATCTGAATCGGTGAGAAGGCTCGCCTCTTTGAGGCGAATAAGGTGATGGGTGATCGACGCCCATTCACCATCCAAGAGACGCTCCAGGAGCTCCGAAGCCGTACGCAATATTTGCGTCGCGAAGGACTGGTTTTTTCGGAGGAGGCGATTCGATGCTTCAAGAATGGCGAACCACTCCCAAAGTTGTCTAAGGCATTCGTCAGGCCGAAGGCTACCCAACGCAATCAGAATCGACGTGATCACATGTCGTTGGTGAACTCCGGTTGCGCAACTAGGGTTTCGGCAGCCTCCTCGCCGCCGGCCACCCAAGGCTCTGCTGGCCTTTCTGTTGATGCCGGAGATGTCCAGGGGCCCAAGGGGGGCGATCGACGTGCACAGGATCCTGGTCGGATGCAGGAGATTCGTGAGCCTAATCGGAAGTTGCCGGAAGTATCTGCCGGCGACCCTAGGGTTTCTGCCCATTCTCCACCGATGGCGTCCCAGGCTTCTTCTGGACTTCACCAACGGGACATGCAAAGGGCGTCGGAGATTGGTTGCATGGGGCTTGGGAGTGATCGGAGGGCAGTCGCGTTCCCGGCGACTTGTGGTCCCTCGACTTTGTGCGGGACTCTGCCGGTGACTTTGCCGGTCAAGGGAGCCAATGTTGATGCTGGGGGGCCGCAAGGGGCTGTTTTGAGGCGGAGCCATGGTGGGCAGACCGGTGGTTTATCGGTCGACGGCCGTGATGGCGTTCGCGAGGTTGGAGGCAGTGTACTTAGCGGTGATTGCGCGTCGGGGGCCAAGGCGTTTTGCCTTGGTTCTGCTGGGGTTGTGCCCTCTGAGAAGGCTATAGAGAAGCCGTGTGAAGGCCGTAGCTTGAAGGTTGGTTCCCTCAGCCGTGCAGTCTCACCTTACGCTATGACGGGAGGCAGTGCGGAGGGTCGCGATTGCGCGCCCAGGACGATGGCGTATTGCCTGGGCTCTGCCGGGGTCATGACCTCCAGGGAGGGAGGAGATAAGCTATGGGAAGGCCACAGCGTGGGTCTTAGCGCATTGGGGCGCGAGCTCTCGGCTTGCGCTACGGTCGGAATACAGCCAGACGTGGAGGTCCATACGGGGGTTGCTTCTAAAGGGCTGGCTGCGGTGGTTTCCCGGCCTGGGAATGGTTTTGGTAGGATAGCAGCTCAGCGATGCCTTGAGGCCTTGGGTGTGTCGTTGGTGGATGCCAAAAGCCACTCCAAACCCGAGGACCTTTTGGCAGTTTTGTTTGACGCCATGGAGGAGGAGGAAAATCGAGCTAAGCTTGGGGGTGTTCAGCTTAAACCTCTGGCCAAAGTTCATCGGTTCAAGTCCAAATTCAAAAGGAAAGGTCGAAGGGCATTCGCCCATGAATCCGGTGTTATATTGGGGAAGATGGATGAAACGGAGACGAAGAGGCAGCTTGGTGGTCTCATGGCTACGGAGCTTGGTGCTCCAGTGGCCACGGGCTATATGGGAAAGGGGCGAAGGTTGGCTCGCAAGAAGCGTGCTAAGGCTCATGTCCCATATGAGGTCACATCTTGCTCTTCCCAGCAGCAAATCATCTCCGGTAAGTCTTTGCTCCCTCTTAATTTAGTGTGTGATGTCGAGTTGGGGCAGCCATCACCCAGGTTGTCTAATCGGCAAGCCCAATTGGAGCACGCTGGTCATAGACAACATATTCCTAATCGGCTTAATCCTAATGAGGATGCTGGTCATAGGATAAATGATGCTAAGGGCTCACTTGGGTTAGGCAGTTCGGACCTGCTTGGTGAGGGGAATCGTGGAGTGGAACTGATCAGGGTGGGTGGTGGTAATAAAGCCACTAGGCCCTCTATTGATCGGTTGCATGTCTCGGGTCCCACCTTGCAGGCAAGCAGCTTGAGGGTGGATGGCAGTGATGCCAATGTTAAGGTGCATCATGGTGCCTCTTGGCCTTTGACACAAATTAAGGGCATTAATGCCCAACTTGGAGGGAATGGTTTTCCCGTAACATGTAATGCTTTGGTGGGCACTCATGTGAGTTTGCCTAATCCTAAATGCTTTGCTCATAACCTCTGTTTGATATTTGGATGGAGCTGCCCATTCTTAATAGATGATAACATGGGGTTGATTGCTAATGTTGCTAGTCGGCCAACATTAGACCATACACCAACCTTGGGGGTTTCTAAGTATGGTTGCAATCCCGCACCTACTATGACTCATAGCACGATTGTGCATTCCGAATCTCTGGGTGAGGAAAGGCAGATGAGTGATATGAATGCTAGGGGTGATGGCCGAAATCTTCAAAAAGAGGGGGAAATGCTTAAGGATGTTCTAAAGGCCTTTTTGCCGGAGGTTAGCGGCACGGCAACAGGTAATATTTTTAACCCCCTTTCCTTTTGTCCTAGTCTTACTGTGGGAAAGGTACAAGAGACATCAGGTTCTCACCCTAATCGGCAAGCTCACTTTGGGCAAGCTGGTCATAGGGTTCATGGGGGTGATCCTAATCGGCTAGTCACTTTTGACAATGCTGGTCATAGGCCCCATGAGGTAGCTAGTCCCTCTGATGTTTCTTGCCCAATCCTGCCAAGCCCGGGAGCTGCCGCATTGACTAATCATCCTGAGTCCATGGCTTCGGTCTTGGGCAATGACGGGGTAGCTAGGAGGGGGCAGCTTTCGGACTCTTCTTTACCTTTGAATGGCCCTTCTGGGGATGCTATTGGGAGCAAGCAAAATGCAATGCAAGCCCCCTCTAACATCCCCAACCCGAGACATGACACCACTGCAGGGGGTGTGCATGTCTCGGGTTCCACCGAGTCTAATACTTGGACTCGGCTTGCCTCGCTACATGCTCAAAATGCTGCCCCTATGGGGGCAATAAGCTTGGATTATACGGCCCAGGTAGGTAGCTCGGCACTGGGCGTAAGCTCAGGCACGCTCCCTTCCTTTGCTAGTCTTTTTGCTTCCACGGGTCTGCCAACTCAAGCTGTTAATGCGGGCCATGACCCGGGGCTTAACATCCCGGATAAAATGGTTGAATCATATGGGGGGGAGGCCTGCATTACTTTTGAGGATATAGAGGTGCAGCAGATGAACAAAATAGGGGAAACCCTACTTATTGGGAAATTCTCTTATGGCAGGCCCGTACTATCCGTTATAAGAGAACACTTTGCCAAACGCTTGAAGTTGAAGGGAACTGTGAGTGTTGGTTTAGTGGACCCCCGACACGTATCTCTTGCATTTTCCAACCCGGAAGATTGCATTAACACGTTAGTCAAGGGTCTGATTCTCTTTGACGGGAAGTGCCCGATGAGGCTCTTCAGGTGGACAATGGACTTTGATACGAGGTTCGAGACGTCATTGGCCCCGGTTTGGGTGTTATTGCCCAACCTTAAGGCCAACTGTTTCTCGGAGCCTTGCCTCAAACAGATTGTCAAACCTATTGGAAGATTTCTACAGGTGGACGCGCCTACGGCTAAGTTCACCCGGCCTAGTGTGGCTAGGGTGAAGGTTGAGATTGACTTGCTGAAGCCCCGGTGCCGCAAGATGTTCATCCGATTAGGGACTGCGCGCCCAGATCAGGAAGCCGTGGGGTTTTGGCAGGCGA